GATATGGCTCTGGTGTAGGGTTGTCTGACTTGTACATGTTATAGTGGGGTCTGTGTATGTGCTGTGTGTGTGATATGGCTCTGGTGTAGGGTTGTCTGACTTGTACATGTTATAGTGGGGTCTGTGTATGTGCTGTGTGTGTGTGTGATATGGCTCTGGTGTAGGGTTGTCTGACTTGTACATGTTATAGTGGGGTCTGTGTATGTGCTGTGTGTGTGATATGGCTCTGGTGTAGGGTTGTCTGACTTGTACATGTTATAGCGGGGTCTGTGTATGTGCTGTGTGTGTGATATGGCTCTGGTGTAGGGGTTGTCTGACTTGTACATGTTATAGTGGGGTCTGTGTATGTGCTGTGTGTGTGATATGGCTCTGGTGTAGGGTTGTCTGACTTGTACATGTTATAGTGGGTCTGTGTATGTGCTGTAGGGTGTGTGATATGGCTCTGGTGTTGGGTTGTCTGACTCTTGTACATGTTATAGTGGGGTCTGTGTATGTGCTGTGTGTGTGATATGGCTCTGGTGTAGGGTTGTCTGACTTGTACATGTTATAGTTGGGTCTGTGTATGTGCTGTGTGTGTGATATGGCTCTGGTGTAGGGTTGTCTGACTTGTACATGTTATAGTGGGGTCTGTGTATGTGCTGTGTGTGTGAGTGATATGGCTCTGGTGTAGGGTTGTCTGACTTGTACATGTTATAGTGGGGTCTGTGTATGTGCTGTGTGTGTGATATGGCTCTGGTGTAGGGTTGTCTGACTTGTACATGTTATAGTGGGGTCTGTGTATGTGCTCTGTGTGTGATATGGCTCTGGTGTAGGGTTGTCTGACTTGTACATGTTATAGTTGGGTCTGTGTATGTGCTGTGTGTGTGTGATATGGCTCTGGTGTAGGGTTGTGTCTGACTTGTACATGTTATAGCTTGGTCTGTGTATGTGCTGTGTGTGATATGGCTCTGATCTTCTGTTTCCTACTTCCTGTTCCCTGTCTCAAGCACGTCGTTAAACCGACTTTCACGTCACCTCACCTCCTGTTCCCTGTGACTACACATACAGGGCTAATGTAACCTTACTGACCTGTATTGTATGAAGGAGTCAGTGGTGTAGGACTGACCTTTTGTGTTTGTCACAAAGTTTGTTAAAACAATGTTGGATTGAGCAGTTGAGTCCAAAAGTACAATCAACAGTGGTGAGTATTTTTATATCTGTCCCTCTAGTTTTGGCGCTTCCATGGCAACAAGTTTGACTTTGTCACAAAGTTTGTTAAAACAATGTTGGAAAATTGAGCATCAGTTGAATCCAAAAGTACAATCAACAGTTGTGAGTGATTGTTATATTGAATTATGTTATCTTTGATATGTCATTTTTCTGTAGTTTAGCATAATGATCTACATTAAATCTGAACAGATGTACCTGTTTAAAGTGCATGTACTAAGCATGATGTCGTGGTTTAAGACTTTTAGGACAATGCTGTCACATCCGTGTCAAGCTAAGGAAAAAGGAACTATTGCCATTTGATGGTCGTCTTGTTCGGGTTACATGAGATGGTTTCATGTACACATACCATTGTGTTTCTCCTCTGGCTCATGCCATCATCTGCCATGTGACAGACAGATGTATCAACCACTACTACACTGATGGATGGCCGTCTCTGGTGCTTGTGTTTCAACCCTGGACCACATACACTACATTGTCATTAGTATTGTATTGATACATCAGTCTCATTTGGAAGTTGTGTTCTAGTTGTTCCCTCCGAGGTGATTTGAGTAATAGAAATGGAATATATTCTTGAATGTGTTTTGAGGTATCCTTAAGTGTTAGCAATACATTCTTACATTTTTATATTTTATTTTAAAATGCTGTACAGGAATATTTGAAATATACAATAGAAATTAAGCATTTTTAGTAAATATTTAATGTTTCCTTTTTCCAAATCTTCCTCTGGTAGAAATGAATTGTGACCTGACAGCAACTGATCAAATACTGACACGGGTGAACAAAAGGGAAGTTGTTAACTGGAAATGTCCAGTGTGGTAGTAGTGGTCTTCTGTAAGGTCCAAGGCTTTCATCAGGTAGGAAGCATTCCACATTTTAAGGCGCCTAGGACCCCACCGTCACAAGTATTCCAGGTTCTAATGAGTTGAGGTCCCCACTGTCCCAAGCCTCACGGTTCCAGGGAGTCTTCTGGGCCCCATTGTCCCATGCCTCAGTGACTCTGGGCCCCACTGTCCCAAGTCTTCCAGGTCCCCACTGTCCCAAGCCTCACGGTTCCAGGGAGTCTTCTGGGCCCCACTGTCCCAAGTCTTCCAGGTCCCCACTGTCCCAAGCCTCATGGTTCCAGGGAGTCTTCTGGGCCCCAACTGTCCCAAATCTTCCAGGTCCCCACTGTCCCATGCCTCAGTGACTCTGGGCCCCACTGTCCCAAGTATTCCAGGTCCCCACTGTCACATGCCTCAGTGACTCTGGGCCCTCACTGTCATAAGCCTTCCGGGTCCTCGCGAGTTGAGGTTCCCACTGTCCCATGCCTCAGGGTTCCAGTGAATCTGAGCCCAAAGTCCTCAGTGTTCTAAGTCTAGGGTCCCTACTGTCTAGGTCCCCATTGTCCCATGCCTCAGGGTTCTAGATAGTCTAGCCCCTAATGCTCCTGTCTGTGAATTGCGTGACTGTCACTAGTACCGTATATGACCGTCTATAAGCCGAATTTTGAGGACCAAAAAAGCAGTCTGTAGAAGGGGGTCGTCTTATCCATGAGTTACACTTTCATCAAACTTTTTTCCAGGGGTAAGAAAACAACATCGTATCACTTCGCGTGAACAAACAACAGAAGACGACTTTGTCAGTAGAGACGTCAAATTTGCAATTAAACATCACTAGACAAGATTAATTACCATTTAAGTTATAAGTTGTTTTGCTGGGCATTGTTTTATTTGCAGGGATTAAGATTACCGTGCATATTTGTCTCTGCATTAACAAAGCCGAAAATAGCAATCAGCTGTGCACACGCTTCCCAGCTTAACAAGTTCAAACATGCACAATAATATAACGGATCTAATTCTGACGAGTCATCAGTAAAATATAATACAGAATACCGCTTATTTAACCCAAAGAAATATATCCTAGCATTGTGTAATTTTAGTTACAGTTTTGCTCTTTAAATTAATTAAGATTACCGTATGCGATTTGTCTCATACACAAAGCCGAAATAGCAATCAGCTGTGCACACATTTCCGCCGAACAAGTTCAAACATGCAATAATAATATAACGGGATGAATTCTATTGATTGAATACTATTATTAACCAAAAGAAATATATCCTAGCATTGTGTAATAGTTTTTATGTAAAAAATATATAATCAACACTAAGGTTATAATGGACCATCATGAACGTGGTAAGCACATGACATGACAGGCGGTAATCAGTTTGTGATTGTTGAATGGGGTAAAATGACCCAGGCCTCACGGTTCCGGGAGTCTCCTGGGCCCCAACTGTCCCAAGTGTCCCAGGTCCCCACTGACCCAAGCCTCACGGTTCTGGGGAGTCTCCTGGGCCCCAACTGTCCCAAGTCTTCCCAGGTCCCCACTGTCCCAAGCCTCATGGTTCCAGGGGAGTCTTCTGGGCCCCAACTGTCCCAAGTCTTCCAGGTCCCCACTGCACCCAGGCCTCACGGTTCCTGGGAGTCTCCTGGGCCCCAACTGTCCCAAGTGTTCCAGGTCCCCACTGACCCAAGCCTCCACGTTCTGGGGTGTCTCCTGGGCCCCAACTGTCCCAAGTCTTCCAGGTGCCCACTGGCCCTAGCCTCATGGTTCAGAGGGAGTCTTCTGGCCCCAACTGTCCCAAGTCTTCCAGGTCCCCACTGACCCATGCCTCAGTGACTCTTGGGCCCCACTGTCCCAAGTATTCCAGGTCCCCACTGTCCCATGCCTCAGTGACTCTGGGCCCTTCACTGTCATAAGCCTTCCGGGTCCCCACTGACCCATGCCTCAGTGACTCTTGGGCCCCACTGTCCCAAGTCTTCCAGGTCCCCACTGACCCATGCCTCAGTGACTCTGGGCCCCACTGTCCCAAGTCTTCCAGGTCCCCACTGACCCATGCCTCAGTGACTCTGGGCCCCACTGTCCCAAGTATTCCAGGTCCCACTGTCCCATGCCTCAGTGACTCTGGGCCCTCATTGTCATAAGCCTTCCGGGTCCCCACTGACCCATGCCTCAGTGACTCTGGGCCCTCACTGTCATAAGCCTTCTGGGTCCTCATGAGTTGAGAGGTCCCCACTGTCCCATGCCTCAGTGACTCTTGGGCCCCATTGTCCCAAGTCTTCCAGGTCCCCACTGTCCCATGCCTAAGTGACTCTGGGCCCCATTGTCCCAAGTCTCCAGGTCCCCACTGACCCATGCCTCCAGTGACTCTGGGCCCCTCACTGTCATAAGCCTTCCGGGTCCTGCGAGGAAGCTGAGGTCCCCACTGTTCCATGCCTCAGGGTTCTAGTGATTCTGAGCCCACAGTCCTCAGTGTTCTAAGTCTAGGGTCCCTACTGTCTAGGTCTCCACTGTCTAAAACCCTCAGGGTTCTAGATAGTCTAGCCCCTAATGCTCCTGTCTGTGAATTGCATGACTGCCACTAGTACATGGCCTTTGACCAGTCTACTCGCTATGACAGATGTTGATACATTTAAGAAAACAACAGCATTATTTCTTTGATTTCTGTTTTGTGGGCAGTACAGTGGCTTCTGCTGCCACATGCCTGTATGACTGAGCTTAAATGTTGCAGGCACTCCGCTCCTTATACACAATAGTCTGATCATTAGATCAACTACCCATCACCATAATTATGATACATGAACAGTAGCCATCTAATGAACCCAGGGGTATTAAATATTCAAATGTTGCATCTATCAGCTCACAGTGATACAGTAACTAGATAGAGTTGAGAACCTGTTAGAGTTGACGTTCTCTGCTGCCCTTCCCTACTGTCCAACATTGATCCTGTCTGACTCCCTCCTTGTTGTCCGCAGCGTACAGGATGTTCGGGAAGAGGCTGGACAGTACGAAAAGACTGGTGGTGTCCAGCAAGGTGTGGATGAAGACTATCCCAACCCAGAACTGTGATGTCCTTCTCACGTTTCCTGCCAAGGCGGATGATGCAACTCTCATGTGGCTCCTGGCACGGCTCAAGACTCGCACTCCCCAGATAATTGTTCATGTCCGCCACCACAGCAACTCCGGAATATATGGCTTCTACATGACAGCTACGTATGAGAAGTGAGTTGTTAATGTGGGCCTGCTAATACATTTGATATGTTCACTGTTACTTAAATACCTTCTTTCAGGAGTTCATTAATGAATGTGATGGTGGAAATTGTGTGTGTGTGTGTCACAACCTATATCTTGGTACAGTTGACGTAGGTACAATGTAGTATTTCCATTTCTAGTGTAATTATATAGCTGGAATGTTGTTGACAACTCATTCATGTGAGAGTGCCTGGTGAGAGACTTGCAGGACCTGACCATGTCTAGATCTGGCTTCAGGCCATCAGGGATCATCATGGACCATCAGGGATCCATGCTACTGCTTTCAGCCACTGGCTCGCTTCTCTGACTCAAGGCCATGTGGTGTAGCTGGAATATTGCTGATTAAAGCAGTTGACAACTTTCTCTCACACACTCCATAGTGTCTCATTGAGTGTTAGGACCGCCTCCATGGTGTAGTGGTTAGGCGTCCAGCCCGAGAGCAGAAGGTTAAATGGTTCGATCCCGACCATGTCATACCAAAAGGCGCTTAAAATATGGTACTTGTTGATCCCTTGCCTGGCTCGGCATTAATGGGTACAACAAGGACTGGTAGTCTTGGAGTCAGTATAATGTGTCTGAGTGGGGGTATTCATGCTTCACTGCGGCATGGTATGTCAGTGGGCTAGCACTTTATAAAACCAGCTTAAGTCTGGGCTAGTACAAGCAGCTACACATACACATACACACGCGTGCACGCTAGATCATATGAAGTGAAATATTCTCAAGCACGATGTTAAACCCAATTCTCACCTCATCTCACCTCAATGAGTGTTCATGTTGTGATAAAGCAGTAATGTTCTCTGTGTGTAAGAGAGAGAGTGAGTGTTGTGTCAGCCATCTATATCCATCAGGGCATGTGACATGGCATTGTCAGTAATCCAACCTGTCACCAGGCAGTTTGGGTAGCTGTTGGAGTGGATGTAGAATGTTCCACCCAGTTCACCTGCCAGTTCCACTTCATGAAGTCAGAATGTGTGATGTGTGGAATGGACGGAAGATAATAGGATATAAAATGTTTTGCTTTGTTCAATACCACAGTTGCTGAGTCCTGGTATTCATGTGGTATTGACCTAAAACATTCATATTTTGGTATTCATTTTGGATGGATATCAGCAAAACCCTGTTACATATTTCCATTTTTTCTACTTTTATGTTTCTTTTTGCTGAGTATATTATTATTACCTCCAGTGTAAATATATCATAATACCTCTCCCCTGCAATCCATTATGTTATTATCCTCCTCCAGTAATATATTGTCTTATTAACACTGGACTTCGGGATGGCCATTATGATTGCCACTTTTTTGGTGACACTACTGACCAATGATGTGGGGCTTCGCCTGTAATGTAAGTCACTGGCTTCTCTTTCCAGACTTGATCATTTAGAGGCCAGCATGATGTAGCTGGAAAATAGCTGACAGTGCCTTGGAATCTCTGACTGTGATGTGGATGTGGTAGATATTTGACTGATGAATGTTTTATGTTGCCAGTTTGCTGAAGGGGACCGAGGAACTTGGCATCAAGAAGCCGCTGAAGATGGACTATGGTGGAGGCATGAAGGAGTTCACGTTTGAGGACCAGGATTGTTTCGCTGGTGTGGAGGATGAGAAGACCTTCCTGACAAGCCAAGAAAGACAGGACATACTCTACCACCTGCTGTGTGAGCTACGAGCTGTGGAGGGAGAGCAGCTCGCCAAGATCAGGTTCCTGGAAGGTCAACCCATTGGTGAGTAGCAGTTGGATCAGTCAAGATTGGAATTATTGGGTGGCAATTATAATACAATAGATAAACAAGAGAATTTAGTAATAAAAACATCAGTAGATTACTGGGGAGGTAATAATAGTAATCAAATAGAATACTGGTTAGGAAATAATAAGTACTTTTCTATACACTTAAGCTGTCAACCCCAGACTTTCAGAATTTGTTGAGATAATGATTACGATTTAAAACCCGTCAGTACTGCATATCTGCCGTACAACTTACGTCATTACTGTGAAGTGTGACTTAAGTGAGTCACAAGGTAAGTGAATCATCACAAGGCAGACACTGCAGTTATTGATCAAGATCTGTGAAGTATGACACCTGTGATTCCTCCATGCAGTTCCCCGCCTGGAGTCCGGCAAGGTCATCTCCCAGGTGTTCCCCCTCCACAACAAGGACGATCTCGCCGAGCTGCGAAAGTGCTGGGTGCAAGCGTTCTTCAGGAAACAACCACAACGTACGTGAAATATAGTTGGCGGTGACTGAGAGTTGTAAATGCTACAGTCGACCTTATTCAGAGTGTCCTGGCAGCCAGTTAATAATGGAGTTGGAACAGTCACCAACCACATACCACTTTGACAAACAGTCAGACAATACCTCACACTTTATTTCACAGACAACCTGCTGTAACCTTTCATCCCAACAGGGATCAAGTAGATTAAGTAATCTGAATTCAAACAACAACCCTTGCCAGGAGTGAGTGAGTTAATGTCACTGGCTATTAATCCACTAATTCCCCACTGAGGCACCATATGAAGTCTTGGATGGTGTTAGGAATCTATCCTTTTCCTACCCTTTTTGAATGGAGAACCTGCTTGGGTAGCTGAGTATAGGTCAGGTTTAAACTTCAGAGCCCAAAAAGGGCATATTGCTCTCATCTTCACCGAGAAACAAAAATATATATTATGTTGCTAGGGAATTATCCTTGATATTGAGAATTCAAGTCCATATTAGCTTGAAGACACAACATTCTTTCTTCACATTGTTGTAAGAATATGTCAAGATGCTTTCATAGGCAGGTGTTCAGCTTTGTCCAACCTTTCCTGTGGATGTCCTGTGTGGACATGAATGGATAGCTGTAATCACTGCACTGAATTTGCATCCCTTGGCAGAGGCAGGATCTGCTGATTTACATGTGGGTTTGCTGCTCTTTTACTTATGATAATAATCCTGTTAGCACCACACCAGTGTCTGTGAGGCCAAAGTGGTAAGAATGGTTGATACATTTTATGAATTTGCCTGAAATGAAGTATTGTAATGAAATGTATTTGACTTTCAGAGAAGATCTGCGAGTACTTTGGTGTGAAGATTGCTCTGTATTTCGCCTACCTGGGACACTACACAGCATCTCTGTGTTTCCCGACACTGCTGGGGATGGTGTTCTGGTTCATACAGGACTCGCAGGTGAGTTAATACGGTAGTTGGTTCACTGCTTGCATACTTGGCAGTCTCTGTACAAGTAAAGACGTGAGGACATCAGCGATAATATGTATTACACATGCTGTTTAATTCTTGGTATTTTGGGGTGAGTTTTATCAATGCAGCAACATACAAGAATAAGCAGGACTGATTGAAGGACCACTTTGTGATCTAGTGAATCTGTGCACATTCTGGTGGCATGAGCTGGTGCTTGTTGACCACTCACATTCAATCCAACAGAAAGAATTTTCGTGAAAGACATCATTTCTTTACCAAATTTCCTGTTTGAGAAATATAGAATCTTCCCATGAAAACTTAATAAGTTCCCTCCTGAATCTCGACATCTCAGATAACGATTCCTGAAAACAAAGTAATTATTTTGTCTGGCTTAATGGAACCATCCATCTATGTACTATATCACTTGAGAGCACAGGTCAAGGTGCTTGCAGCCACTATATCACTTGAGAGCAAAGGTCAAGGTGCTTGCAGCCACTATATCACTTGAGAGCACAGGTCAAGGTGCTTGCAGCCACTATATCAGATGAGAGCACAGGTCAAGGTGCTTGCAGCCACTATATCACTTGAGAGCACAGGTCAAGGTGCTTGCAGCCACTATATCACTTGAGAGCACAGGTCGGGGCGGTGGGGTAGCCTAGTGGTTAAAGCGTTGGCTCGTCAAGCCGAAGACCCGGGTTCGATTCCCCACATGGGCACAATGTGTTAAGCCCATTTCTGGTGTCCCCCACCGTGATATTGCTGGAATATTGATAAAAGCGGCATAAAACTAAACTCAGTCAGTCAGTGAGAGCACAGGTCAAAGTGCTTGCAGCCACTGTATCACTTGAGAGCACAGGTCAAGGTGCTTGCAGCCACTATATCAGATGAGAGCACAGGTCAAGGTGCTTGCAGCCACTATATCAGATGAGAGCACAGGTCAAGGTGCTTGCAGCCACTATATCACTTGAGAGCACAGGTTAAGGTGCTTGCAGCCACTATATCACTTGAGAGCACAGGTTAAGGTGCTTGCAGCAACTATGTCACTTGAGAGCACAGGTTAAGGTGCTTGCAGCCACTATATCACTTGAGAGCACAGGTCAAGGTGCTTGCAGCCACTATATCAGATGAGAGCACAGGTCAAGGTGCTTGCAGCCACTATATCACTTGAGAGCACAGGTTAAGGTGCTTGCAGCCACTATATCACTTGAGAGCACAGGTCAAGGTGCTTGCAGCCACTATATCAGATGAGAGCACAGGTCAAGGTGCTTGCAGCCACTATATCACTTGAGAGCACAGGTTAAGGTGCTTGCAGCCACTATATCACTTGAGAGCACAGTTTAAGTTGCTTGCAGCCACTATATCACTTGAGAGCACAGGTTAAGGTGCTTGCAGCCACTATATCACTTGAGAGCACAGGTTAAGGTGCTTGCAACCACTATGTCACTTGAGAGCACAGGTCAAGGTGCTTGCAGCCACTATATCACTTTAGAGCACAGGTCAAGGTGCTTGCAGCCACTATATCACTTGAGAGCACAGGTTAAGGTGCTTGCAGCCACTATATCACTTTAGAGCACAGGTCAAGGTGCTTGCAGCCACTATATCACTTGAGAGTACAGGTCAAGGTGCTTGCAGCCACTATATCAGATGAGAGCACAGGTCAAGGTGCTTGCAGCCACTATATCAGATATATTGAGTCCAGTACGAGGGATTATGAGACTGGCTTCAGATGAATTATTAATACTGTAATCAACACTTTAATTATGTTGTGTTTGCCTTGAGGCAGAGGTGGGCTGACTGTCAGAGTAATTCCCCGGTGATGTGTTACCAAGTAGTACTAGACATACTGACGGCAGTGGGAGTTCTGGTCACAGAAACCCAAGGCATATCTGGATTGGCAATAACGTCATATGTTTCAGTCGGTTCAGGAACTGTAGTTTTAACAAGGACAAGCTGGTTGAAACTCCCAGGAGGCTGCATTGTGCTAGTGTTCATATAGAGGTTTAGTTATCTTTAATTTCTGTTTTCATTTCTATTCAGCTTGCTTTCATGTGTTTCATCATTGTGGTTTACATTATTACAGTTTGCCCAAGTCGGTGCAATGTATTCTGGTTTACATTATTACAGTTTGCCCAAGTCGGTGTAATGTATTCTGGTGTACATTATTACAGTTTGCCCAAGTCGGTGCAGTGTATTCTGGTGTACATTATTACAGTTTGCCCAAGTCGGTGCAATGTATTCTGGTGTACATTATTACAGTTTGCCCAAGTCGGTGCAATGTATTCTGGTTTACATTATTACAGTTTGCCCAAGTCGGTGCAATGTATTCTGGTGTACATTATTACAGTTTGCCCAAGTCGGTGCAATGTATTCTGGTGTACATTATTACAGTTTGCCCAAGTCGGTGCAGTGTATTCTGGTGTACATTATTACAGTTTGCCCAAGTCGGTGTAATGTATTTTTGTGTACATTATTACAGTTTGCCCAAGTCGGTGCAGTGTATTCTGGTGTACATTATTACAGTTTGCCCAAGTCGGTGCAATGTATTCTGGTGTACATTATTACAGTTTGCCCAAGTCGGTGCAATGTATGCTGGTGTACATTATTACAGTTTGCCCAAGTCGGTGCAATGTATTCTGGTGTACATTATTGCATGTGTTTTATGATGATTTTTTAAAAACTATTACCAGTATTTATTTCTCCTTTAATAGTAATACAGTCATACCAATCAATGCCAATCTGCTTTTAAAACTGTAGCACCAGTCATGTTAATACCATAGGTGCTGACGTCCATCACTACCCCTCTACCCATGACAGTATATCACTGGCATTGGTAGTGAATGTGTCACTATAGCACTGCCATTGGTAGTGAAGGTGTCAGTATATATCAACATCATTGGTAGTGAAGGTGTCAGTATATCGACATCGTTGGTACTGAAGGTGTCAGTATATATCGACATCATTGGTTGTGAAGGTGTCAGTATATCGACATCATTGTAGTGAAGGTGTCAGTATATCACTGCCATTGGTAGTGAAGGTGTCACTATAGCACTGCCATTGGTAGTGGAGGTGTCAGTATATATCGACATTGTTGGTAGTGAAGGTGTCAGTATATCACTGCCATTGGTAGTGAAGGCATCAGTATATCACCACCATTGGTTGTGAAGGTGTCAGTATATCACCACCATTGGTTGTGAAGGTGTCACTATAGCACTGCCATTGGTAGTGAAGGTGTCAGTATATATCAACATCATTGGTAGTGAAGGTGTCAGTATATCGACATCGTTGGTACTGAAGGTGTCAGTATATATCGACATCATTGGTTGTGAAGGTGTCAGTATATCGACATCATTGTAGTGAAGGTGTCAGTATATCACTGCCATTGGTAGTGAAGGTGTCACTATAGCACTGCCATTGGTAGTGGAGGTGTCAGTATATATCGACATTGTTGGTAGTGAAGGTGTCAGTATATCACTGCCATTGGTAGTGAAGGTGTCAGTATATCACCACCATTGGTAGTGAAGGTGTCAGTATATCATCGCCATTGGTAGTGACGGTTTCAGTATATCATTGGCATTGGTAGTGAAGGTGTCAGTATATCGACATCATTGGTTGTGAAGGCGTCAGTATATCACCACCATTGGTAGTGAAGGTGTCAGTATATATCAATATCGTTTGTAGTGATTGTGTCAGTATATCACTGCCATTGGTAGTGAAGGTGTCAGTCAGTTACCACCATTGGTTGTGAAGGCGTCAGTATATCACCACCATTGGTAGTGAAGGTGTCAGTATATCACCACCATTGGTAGTGAAGGTGTCAGTATATCACCGCCATTGGTAGTGAAGGTGTCAGTATAATGACATCATTGGTAATGAAGGTGTCAGTATATTGACATCATTGTTAGTGAAGGTGTCAGTATATGGACATCATTGGTAGTGAAGGTGTCAGTATATCACCACCATTGGTAGTGAAGGCATCAGTATATCACCACCATTGGTTGTGAAGGTGTCAGTATATCACCACCATTGGTTGTGAAGGTGTCACTATAGCACTGCCATTGGTAGTGAAGGTGTCAGTATATATCAACATCATTGGTAGTGAAGGTGTCAGTATATCGACATCGTTGGTACTGAAGGTGTCAGTATATATCGACATCATTGGTTGTGAAGGTGTCAGTATATCGACATCATTGTAGTGAAGGTGTCAGTATATCACTGCCATTGGTAGTGAAGGTGTCACTATAGCACTGCCATTGGTAGTGGAGGTGTCAGTATATATCGACATTGTTGGTAGTGAAGGTGTCAGTATATCACTGCCATTGGTAGTGAAGGTGTCAGTATATCACCACCATTGGTAGTGAAGGTGTCAGTATATCATCGCCATTGGTAGTGACGGTTTCAGTATATCATTGGCATTAGTGGTGAAGGTGTCAGTATATCGACATCATTGGTTGTGAAGGCGTCAGTATATCACTGCCATTGGTAGTGAAGGTGTCAGTATATATCAATATCGTTTGTAGTGATTGTGTCAGTATATCACTGCCATTGGTAGTGAAGGTGTCAGTCAGTTACCACCATTGGTTGTGAAGGCGTCAGTATATCACCACCATTGGTAGTGAAGGTGTCAGTATATCACCACCATTGGTAGTGAAGGTGTCAGTATATCACCGCCATTGGTAGTGAAGGTGTCAGTATATGGACATCATTGGTAATGAAGGTGTCAGTATATTGACATCATTGCTAGTGAAGGTGTCAGTATGTCACCACCATTGGTAGTGAAGGCATCAGTATATCACCACCATTGGTTGTGAAGGTGTCAGTATATCACCACCATTGGTTGTGAAGGTGTCAGTATATCGACATCATTGGTAGTGAATGTGTCAGTATATCACTGCCATTGGTAGTGAAGGTGTCAGTATATGGACATAAGGTGTCTGTATATCACCGCCATTGGTAGTGAATGTGTCAGTATATCACTGCCATTGGTAGTG